ATCATTGACACCACATACAGGTACTCTTTAGCTGAAGATCATCTCAGAAAGATTGCAGCAGTACATTGACAGAGAGCTGCCAGAGGTTCAGGCAAGATTCAGAAGATGATGTAGAATCAGAGATATTATTGATGATGTCATATGGATCGTGGCTGAAAGTAGGGAATGCCAGAAATATATTTACTTGTGTTTCATTGACTATGCAGAGGCATTCTACTTTGTGGCTTGGAACAAACGATGGTAGTCTTGAGAAGAATGGGAATGCCAGAAAAATTCATTGTGCTCATGGAGAACCTGCACATGGATCAAGAAGCAGTGGTACAAACAGACCAGGGAAAACTGCATGGTATAAATTCAGGAAAAGAGTGCATCAGAGTTGTATTTTTTTACCATACTTATTCAATGTGTATGTTGAGCAAATAATCAGAGGATCTGGACTATATGAAAAGGATCTTGGCATTAGGATTGGAGGAAGGCTTATTAACAACCTGCAATACGCAGATGATACAACCTTGCCTGCTGGAAATGAGGAGGACTTGAAGATCAAGGATTGCAGCCTTCAACCTGAACTACAAGTCAATGTAAAGAAAAAAAATCCGCACACTTTGACCAATAGGTAACATGATAAATAGAAAGAGATTGAATTTATCAAGGGTTTTGTCTTGCTTGGATCCACAATCAATGCGCATGGAAGCAGCAGTCAAAATATCAAGCAACATATTGGATTAGGTAAATTCAACCTCTTTGAAGTGTTGAAAAGCATGAATGTTACTTTGAGGACTCAGGTGCGCCTTACCCAAACCATGGTATTTTCAGTTACTTCATTTGTGAGTTGAACATTGGCTAAGGAAGACCAAAGAAGAGTCGACACATTTGGATCACAGTGCTGGCGAAGAATATTGAAAGTACCATGGATTGCCAAAGAACAGATCAGTCTTGGGTTGAAGTACAGCCAAAATTCTCCATGGAAGCAAGGAGGGCAAGTCATGGTCTCATGTCCTTTGGACACGTTATCAGGAGAGACCAATCCCTGAAAAAGGACATCATGCTTGATAAATAGAGGAGCAATGAAAAAGAGGAAGACCCTGGGGGGAAATTTTTGACACAGTGGCTGCAACAATGGATTCAAACATAGGAACAGTTGTGAGGACGGCACAGGAGCAGATAGTGTTTGCTTCGGATGTACACAGAGCTGTTACGAGACAGAACCGACTCGATGGCATTTCCTAACAGCAGACTGCCTGGATGTATGAACCTTGGTGCTTGCTTGGTGAGGCTTGCATAAGCAAGTATAACTTTGTGATTTTTTATATTGTTTTTTAATGCTTGTATATATATTTAAGCAAATGAGTTCTTCAGTCAAGTAGAAGGGATGTGAAAAATTAGCAACTTTTTACATTGAATCCTGTGGGATATTTAAAAACAGAGATACAGAGAAGATTAACAAGCATATGTGTTGCTATTTTCTGCACTAAATATTAATGGAAAGCATCCAAGGGTAATGTTTCCACTGTAGGTTAATTATGAAATGCTGATGAGCCTTTCATGTCATAATTAGTATGCTTTCATTTATTTATATGGTAACTCTGGGTCAAAATTTTGATTCATTGTCTTTTAAATGAATTAATCACAACTTTTAGTGATTACTATTATAACACTCTATAATTGTAGAGTGAGTAGAGTATTCACTCTACAAATAAATCACATGTATTGTAGTGAGGACACAGATTACTGTTATCTTTATAGCATGTATAACTAATATACTGACTTGGGGAGTCACCTCAAAATGAACCTCGTTTGTAGAGTTTGACAATTTCTGGGTATCAAAATCCTCACTATAGCAAAATTTGGTTTATTAGGCTTTGACATTGGGTTCACAAAATTCCTAAATATTTAACTAATGGTGTTACTATCCATTTGAAGGTGGTACTAACATACCACTGTGATAGCAAAAACTTATAGTGCTGGATTCTTATGATTCTTTCTACAATGCTTTCGTTCAGTTTAAATTTATTCATTAGGATAATCATTTGAAGTCATGTTTATAATAATTTGAGTCATTTCCTATTTGGGGAAGTTAATCAACAAGGATGAGTGGCCAAGTGCACACAAAGACTTCTGAACACAGTCTTAGGGGGTTTGGGACCTCGTAACACTGGTCTCTGGTCTTAGAACAAGAATCTGCAATTCCTTTGAGCTAGACAAATTAATTTGGCAAGCAACATCTGAGTGCTTTTGCTTTAGGTAGCTAAATTTATGGTAGAGTTATAGTACCAATAATTTATTAAAATATTTATTATTTGGCCTCTTCTACCATCATTTAAAAATTCTGAGATCACAAGGAATTCATGGAGATGATTGCTTTATCCATGTTATATTTATTTAATGTGAACTATTCAATAAACGTATTTGTTTATTTTACTAATAACTAACTTGTGATATTAAATTTTTATTCTGAAATGTATGCTACCTATATTATAAATGTATGGAGGGGGACAAAATCTCAATTAACAATCACTTTTGTTTCCTATATTTCAATCCATTTTTAAATTTTTTTTGCTATAGACCCATAGTATTTATATTTTACAGCAAACATCATGATTAGATTTAAGGAATTTATTGTCTGAAAAGGAATTGTTTCCTCCACTATATGTAAATTTCATGGCCATGAAATTTCTTTGTCTGTTTCATCTCCTTGTTCCTTGTTGAGGCACAATGCTTAGCATCTAATGGGCACTGGATGGAGATTTCTTGAATGAAAGAATTAATTAATACATAATAATTTTGAATATAAATTTTTAATAGGAAAAGAAAAATGAAGCTTAAACAAAACAAAATCAATATTTTAGCTGAACAACCAAATTGCTGGCTTCAGTTTTAATGTTATTTTTCAATACATCATTTACACCCACAGCATTATCATGTTTAGTCATGGCCATTGGAAATTGACCTTAAGGATGATGATCCTGTCAGGTCTTTACTCAAAAACTCAAGATTGTCCTTACTTCAAAAGGCAAGAACAAAATCCTTTTAATTTCCATTTCAGAGGTTTTACCTTCTTGAGTGTTTTCAACTTACATCTTAAGTGACCAGAAAATTCTACTGAACAAGATAAACCATGACTGTGTAATCTGATTTATTAAAATTGAGTTATAATTAGCAAATACGTTATTTTAATATTTAGTCACTTGAAGAAAATGGTTAAGCTAGAAAATGTTGATGTGAATGACCAATACCCTTATTTATCTATTTCAGAAGAATTCAGAGATCAAAAGCTACGATGTGCATCACAGGCACAGTAGGCATGCTCTTGTCACTAGCAATGATGACTTATATCAGGGGTGGGGAAGGGCTAGCCTGTGGGCCATAGGAAGCCCACAAAGCCATCCGTACCAGCAAACATCACACGCCTCACCAAAGACAACAAGTTGCAGTCTTCACCTGAGGGATGCCTTAAGTAAATGTGACCGAATATAAGGGCAACACTTTAAGCTAATGATTTTGGATAGCCCGTGGATGATGTTATAGCTATCTCTATGGCCTTTGGAAGGAAAGTGTCCCCACCCCTGCATTCCATGGCCAACTGAAAGTACCGCTCCTCATCTCCAGCATCGTCTTACTCTTTGTGGTTCTTATCATAGTTTCACTTGGGGTTGTTGTTTGGCTCAATACACTGGAACAGGAAGCCTACTGACTTTATGCTATATTTATAAAACAACTATCGCTGTGATAGATTTAGTCACATTGTTATTCATGCATAACAATGATGAATGCAAGATACTTCATGCCTTTGACAAATTTACATTCTGTCAAAGCGAGACTATAAAACACTAAAATGCAGAGTAGACAAGACATTTAAGAGACGTAAACTGAACTTGGATAGGAGAGAAAGAAATGCAGTCTGAAGACGAAGAAGACATTCCATGAGCAAAGACATGTGACTGGGAGAAACTGTGCAATGCATTTCTATAAGAAAAGCACGTAACTCAGTGTGAATAGATTCTATGTTGCCTGTGATGATATAATCAGAGATCAATCTGGAATAGCTTTTGTCCTTATAAGCATGGAAGTCATAGTTCTGTGATCATTAATTTTCATATAATTTGTCTACTTTAAGATAGTAGATCACAATTCAATCTATTTATAAAATAAGGCATAAGATATCCAGATTGGGACTCACTTATGAAAATGATTATGTTTGAATTTCAAGGGAAGCCTAGAAATTCCTTTGGATAAGTTCTACTGCCACATGAGTTAAAAATTGTCTCAAAATCACCTAAAAACAATACCTTTTATTGACCTGCTATCTCTTCTTCACATTCTATTTTAACTTGAACTTAAATCTGATCCCATTCCACTCCTCATGAAGTGGCAATTGGAAAAGTTAGTATAGATGAAAGCTCCTACAAAAATTTCCTGGTTATCATGGGCATTATTAAAGTCAAAGATTCTAACGTCAACAATGTTATTATAATGGTTGTCCATGAGGCAGCAAGGAAAATGGCTTGCTGTGCGAATTGTACCATCAGATCTTACAGATGATAACAGCATCTCTATGTCTTTGCTCTATGTCACAGTAATAATTAGCTGTAAAAAAAGACTTCCTAAATCAGAATATAGGTAAATCAGGATAAACCATTACCAACAATGGACATTGCTCAAAATATAAGTGCGGTTTGTTTTGTCAGTTATGTTCTCTTAGTGAACTTGAGAAAGCCACTAGACTGCTAGAATAGTGGAAAGATGCCTAAAAATCAGGTAGCATGAGTTCTAGATTCAGATCAAGACTCAGTTTTCACATTTATAAAAACAATAACAGCTAGGGATGACACAGGGCTTCTAAGAACCATTTTATCTCCTTAGAGTCACGTAAGAAGTCATGCAATATGGGCTGTACCTTCCTGAAGTATCAAAGCATAGAAAAATGTCAAATCTGTCAGAATCCAGGTCTTTGAAATGTGGCTCCTCTCACAGTTCTTATTTTTACGTGCCTGTTCAGTTCAGAAGGCTGTGGAGAGCTGGGCGCTGAAGAAGGAGGACTGACAAGGGAACTGCGGAACTGAATCTTCAATCAGCTCCATAAGGTGGCACTCTGTCAACAAGGTGTTTCGCTGTGCAGGGGGATCCTGTGGGGGATCCTGGTAGTGGCAGTGTTTGCATGAAGGAGAGATCACATTCCTGAAGGCTGCCCGGAAGCGGTGAGACAGGAGGTTATAAATAATGGGGTTGACAGCTGAGCTCAGGTAGAAGAACACACCTAGCAGACAAGGAATCAAAAGAGATATACTAAGGAGAAATTGAGTGAAAGACACAATAGAGAGATTATACATATTTAACAAAGATCTAAAATGCCACTTTTGGAAGTGATAATATATACAAATCGCTAATTGAGAATACAAAATGCTCCGAACAGATCTACTACCTGTGCGCTTAAGAATCAAACACAGAAAGATTAAAGAGTCTTGTAAAAATTTAGTTGCCATGGGATCTCACTGAGATGTTTGGCAACTTCCTTTGATCCCCACTCTTTAATTAAAGAACATGTTTCCAAAGCGTTATCCAGGGATGGGTAAGTATCAGAGGAAGGCAAGATGTTTTTGTCTCATTGGAATTTTACTTAAAACTATCATTTGAAACTGCAAGTAATGAAGGAATAATAAATCAGAGAAGGCTATTGAGAATCCTTGATATGCTAAATATCTCTTCAAAGAAATATTTCCAATGTCTTTTCTCTAATTAGCCTTTCCTGTAGATAACTTCTCTCACCTCATATTTTTACCTTACTGAATAATATTATTTCTCTATTTATTTTCTCCACTTAGCTCATTTCCATTTACCTCTTTGGTACATATTCTTCATTTATTAACATATGTTATTTTTTTTTTCCCTTCAAAGTCTGGCATTAGCATAAAGTTGGGAATTGGAGGACCTATCTTCTTATTTAGGCTTAACTTTTTCTGTAGATTTAGACACACACTGTAAGTTGAGTTTCCTTATTTGTAAAGTTTGCTGTCAGTGATGAAAAACTTTCAAGACCCAAAAAAGTCCAGTAATGTTCTGGCTGTCACAGGGTTCATCGTATTGAATCACCTTCTGTGATGTGTCATTTGAAAGTTGAGAGTTTAGACTTTGTTCTCCAAGCACTGGAAATAGCATTGTCAAGACCAGACATATTCTGAAATTCAACAAGTAATAATATGAAAATGCAAAGCAATTTCTTACAGGAATAAAATGTGTAACACCCACAGTCAGGCTGTGGAAATGCACACAAGGACCATGATAATCAGGGACAATTTAGTAGGGGTGAGGGAACATCAACTAGGCCTTACAGTGTGTGACAAATTGTTGAGAAAAAGAGAGGAAGGCTCTGTTAGTAAAAAGCATAACATGTGCAGTTGTGGATAGGCAGAAATGGTTACATTATGTTGGATAATTGTAGAAAGTGTATGAATCTTTGATTATCCATTTAGACACGTGTATGGTCTCTGGAGATGGGCATCATGCTTGGCATGGGAGAAGATGAGAGAAAAAGAAAGATCCTCCCTGAGACGGTTCAACCACGTGGCTGCATGATAGTTTTGAACGTAACAATGACTATAAGGCTGGCACTGAACAGAGCAATACTTCCTCTGTTGTCCATAGGGGAATTTGGGTTTGGAATGAATTCCATAGCACCGAACAGCAGCAACATGGTCTATGAGTGGAGATGCTATAATTTGAATATCAAAAGGCAAGTTGGAGCACTTTATATAGGGCTAGAAGATTTTCACTCCATTTGGTTTACAATGAGGAGTAGGGATTCCCTCTTAATAGGATAATCCCATTACAAAAGCCAACATTTTGAAATGTTATAATGGAAGCACTGATATATCTGGAGAGGTGTGGTCAACTAGCCAAGGGTCATGGGGTCTTGTAGTGTCTTCCAATTTCTTCAACTCTCTTATTTTAATCAGATTAACAACCAAACTAAGCTAAAGACTGTAAATACTTTTCAGTTTGAGTGATATATGTTTGAAATTGATATGAAGGACTAATATCCAGATGTAAACTACGCACACAAAATAGAGGGTGGCAGAAAAAAATATAGTACATGTTATGTACAATGCACATATGTATGCGATTGTTTTTTTACTTTGTGGACATCAGGACCTCAACCTGCACAAATTAATCTTCTCTTTCCTCTTTGGCCCTGTCTTTGATTTTGCCTAAATTGTCCACATATTCAGTCAATGCTCAGAAAATGGACAAAAACCTACCGCTGATGATCATGCTGACTAAGAAACTGGGACCTGTATGACCATTCTCTGCTGTTTTAGCTGACAGAACACTGAACTAGAAATAAAGCATCTTATCCATGAGCTTTGTTTCTTCTGATTTCCAGGTAAGTTTCTTCTTTTTGGACCTGTTGCTTTAATGGCAAAATGTTGCGATAATATCTACTTAACAACTTCGTGGTGATCATTATAGAAATATATGTAGCATTATACTGCTTAAAATAACTCTTTAATACTGATTTTTTATTTTGTTATTATCAATCAACAATTTGCATAGATCTGATATTATTGTTGTTTGACACACGAGGAATCATTGATATGAAAGGTGCATGCATTCCAGATCACTGAAAATATTAATCAGCCTCAGCCCAAATCCTCTGACTTTATGACCTTTCCACCACTTGATATGTATTCTATAATAAGTGCTATGGTATATAAGAAGCCTAAAAGTAGGTCGTTTGTGATACTCCTTGATGCCTCTTCAGTTGGCTTTTATAGGAATCTAACATTTGTCAAAGGTCATATGGGATTTGTACGACATAAATATTTAATAAATAAAAGTCAATTCAATCACATGTCCATTGAAAGAATAAAACAAAGGAATTATTCTGTGATAGTTAGGTTTCATGTCAATTTGGCTGGACGAGGATTCTCAATAGTTTGGCAGTACAGGTCGCCTCCATGATGTAGCACAATATAATGTAAGCAATTCCATGACGGGATCTGATGCAGGCAGCAAAGCAATTATAAGGGAATTAGGGAGCTACCTTATTCAGGTCAGCCCTGATGCAATTGAAAGGTGGTTTCTTTGGGGGTGTGGACTACTCCTATTTAAGCAGATTCTGTATAAAGGCTTCTTTCTCTTCTTGCTGATCTAGATCCTGTATCTGTCTCATCGGCCTCTGGTCTTTTGGATTTGAAAAAAGGGTCAACCATATTGCCTGCTGACCCTGGGAGCTATCAGCAACTAGCCATATTGCCTGCTGACCTTGGATTCATTCAATTCTGCATCCAGGACCCTGACCTGGTGACCTTGGATTCATCTGACTCTGTCTCCACCAGCCTACAGTTCTCTTGCATCCTGGATCATCTTCTTGCTTCCCCTGGCAGCTACAAGAGTAAAAGAAAAAAAAATAGAAAGAAAAAAAAAAGCCTCCATCTTAACCTCTCTGACCCACAGGCTTGAATTAGACTGGACTCCCCTGCTTCTACCACCCTGTGAGCCCCTAGAGAACCCAGCCTAACACCTATAACCATTCCCTGCTATAATCATTATGCATGTAATTGAGATCACTTGTGAGATAGGCTCTAAAATAATGATTTGGTATATCTTTTGGATTTATTAATGTGTTAATAAATTTTTAAATAAATTAAAATGAAATGTCTTCAATATAACATAATGGGCTCCATATGATAAATTGATATACTCAGGAAGAACCTACTGCTCTAAGCAAGGTGAAGTAACAGTGCTCATCTGAAATTTACTATGCAGTCAAACCAGCTGAGTTTTTACCTGACACCACGTGGATGAGATTGAATACAGCAGCGAGGGATTCAGTCCATTCCTCTACAAAGCTGAAGAAGAGCCGATCAATGTGGAATGGAGTCCAACAGATAGCAAACACTAAGACCAATATAACTGGAAAGGATAATGGATGTCAGAGAAAAATGCTGGTCAAAGCAAGGACAGGTATCCGATGCCCACTCTGAATCCACTCATTGCTTCTAAAGAACCTCAAAAAACAAAGCAAAGCTCAGACTCATTGCCATCAAGTCGATGCTGACCCATCGAGACCCAATAGGCCCTGCAGTGAATTTCCAGGACTGTAACTCTTTATGGGAATAGAAAACCTTATCTATCTCCTGAGAAGTGGCTGGTAGTTTCAAACTGCTGACTTTGCAGTTAGCAGACCAACACATGACCACTGCATTATCAAGACTCCTGTAAAGAGCCTAATTATAGAGTATTTTAATGTAAGGAAAATGTTACAGGATCTGTTTTCCTAACGATTGTATAAGGCTTCTTATACAATGTAAGCTTCTTTTAAAAAGTCTGAAATAATACTGAATTGGTTTTAAATACTGAAAATATTCTATTGTAGAAAATAAAGTATATTGCAGGTAACTGTTGAGACAACATAAACCAGTCATGTAAATAAAATGATTTGGCTTAAGTAGCTGGTATTCTTTGAAGTCATAGATTAATAACAAACTTACATGGATTAAACTTGCTACTCAAAAGATAATTCAAAATGTCTCTGACTTCAATCATTTAAAGTTGTGTATGGGATAATGGAGGAGATCCGGTATCTTTTGATTGGATGGAAATTTGTCTTTTATGTTATACATTGCCAGATAACAGAGCTCCTTCTAATTTCTCTCTCATCTCAATATACAGATTGGTGCTACTATAGTTTATCTTTGGGTCATTAAATCTGCACAAATTTAAATATGTACTATTCCTCTTCTGAAGTTGTATTTCCTTTTTAAAAGATGAATATTAAGAATAAAAAGATAAACTTTGGTGACTTCAGTTTTATTGTCCTTTCCACTATATCACGCAGTTATAGTGAGCATTTCAGATGCATATTAGTCTGGAGGAGACTTTCTTCCAAACCATAGTTTGGAGTTGGAAAGCATATTACTAGCTTCCTTTCCCACATCAATATCACTCCTAGAATTGTGGTGGATCACGTGAGTTAGTGCCTGGATATTTCTTTTAACCATCTTTATCTATTCAAAAACTGTACTTTTTAATATAAAGTTATATAATGTCAGAAGGTAAAGCACTGCTTAAAGGTACTCTTCCCAGATGTTCTTAATCTGGACTTAAAGGACTCCAGGGAGGCTATTTAGGGGCTTCAGGGGACTCATAATTACCCTGAAATGGAATGCAACATATTTGTACATGTGTATTTGTACAATTGAATTTTATACTCCACAGCATTCATCTGGTTTTCAAAGGAACCCATAACATAGGCTAGTTTAAGACCCACCTGCTCCTTTAACAAAGGGAAAAGTAATGCTCAGAATCACAGGAGGTGGAGTGAATGACTGTGGTAGTTACATAATCTGGCATCAATTTGGGATTTGAGAGGATTAAGAGTGAAGGGGTGGAGTCTAGTCTGTCAATTGGGTCTTAGCCAATGAGGCCTCTGTGTGGGCATGGCCTTCTCCTGAGGATTCTGGGAACTCCTGTTTTTCCTCCTTGGAGGTGGGAGACACTTACTTCTCTCTCTCTCTGTTTTCTCCCTGCAAGATATCCCTGTGGAGAAGACACATGGAGCGAGGCTTAGGGAGCCAGAGAAGCCATGTGGAAAGCCCTGCCAGTGCTGAGATGCTTACAACGCCACTGGATCTGTAAGATTCCCAACCTACTGGCCTGTGATCTTCCTGCATTCAGGGTCATTGCATGTGTTTCCGGAGTCTGAAGAGGACTTTATAGATAGGTATCAGACATATTGACTCATATCGGATTTATGAACTTAATCTAGACTGGGCTGATATATTTTCTCAACATTCAATTGCTCTTGACTATAAACCTCTTTCTTATACCCATATCAGTGAGCATGAATTTGTTTCTCTAGTCTACCTGGTCTAGCACAATTACCAAATACCACAAGGAGTGTATTGCAATCTGTGCCTTTAGCATGTTTTAAAAATTAAATACAAAATCAAAACAACCAGTCTTATAGAAACTTAAAGCAAACCAAGAGAAACCTGACCATGTTGTTACGTTTTAGGGCCATTCTGATCCTGAGCCCCAGTAGCACTTCTCTCAGTATCAAGAGCGATGCCAATTCCATTGCTTTTACTATCAAGACAAAATGGAGAACTTACACAGCATGTTGGTAACTGATTTTCTGGCGGGTCTCTGGATATTTGCAGTCATTTCATCTGCCTCAAGGAATTGATCTTTTTTCAGCTAGAAGGTAAGTGGAAAGAGCAGGTAAATATAATAAGTACCCCTTTTATCCTCTTATAACCGGAGAAGTGATAACTGGAACATTCACTTTGAAGACAGAAAAGTCATACTTAGAAATATGTGAGAATCATCAAAAGTTTAACAGTAAATTGGAAGTAAAGTTGGATCTGGACCCAGGTCACTTACTTCAGTGGGATTTGTAATATTATTGTTTTTCATATACAGTTTCTGGAGAACACTAGTAGTATGGTATTTGTTTTATGGAAAAAATGTGAAATATTGAAATAAAGACACCATGTAGAAATATTAAAATATTTTAAATTATGCAACAGCTATTATACAACAATCTCTTTGATATATGGTTGCTGAGTAGCAATAGAAAACAAAAGGAGATGAGATGTTATTCCTGCCTCTTGAAGGTTACAGTCATTATTGTGGGTCTTCTAGGAGCTTTCGATATTCTACCAATCATTGTGAATCTCCAAGTTGGGACAGGCTTCTTTTACTGAATCATACCTTTTCATAGATCTGTATGGTGGACTACCAATTACCAGGTTGAGAAGCACCATTTGGGAGATGTTGCTTTTATTAATAAGAGTGCATGTTCTGAATTTACAGATTTATTTATATAATACATATATTCAAAGACATGATAATTCTTGATGTAACATCAGTCCAACAAACACACACACACACACACACACACAAATTAACATTTTTGAAGCCTGTTACTGATTCAGAAATTGCATTGGATAGACAGCATCAGCTCTACCTTCTTAGCTCTGTGTCTCACTTTATTTTCAGCTATTAATTTATACAAATTTCTAAATTTATTATTCTAGTTTTAAATATGAGAAAAATTCAGACCCACAAATTACAGGATAATACAAAAAAGGTAAGAAATATCTTTACAAAATTAAGGTCATGAGGGCCTTCCAAAGGAAACTGCATATGGACCCATCTGGCTAAGAGCAGCCTTTAAAAGATTTCAGGTGTGGAAATTCAAAGCGGCCATTCTTCTCTGTCTTACAGTCACTGTGTGTTAGAATCAATTAGATGGCAGCAAGATTGTCTTTTTGGTACGGGAGGCTGTGCAATACATACAAATATGACAAGTTGGATACAGCAAAGCCAGAATACAGTTGGAAAAGAGTGGAAGATAAAAAAGAAAATTGTAAAAGCACATATGTTGAAGATATGAGGGCAATTTGGAGTGTTGAATATATAATACTTCTTAGTGATTTTCATCCATCATTTGAAGATCTAAATTTTCTTCTTCTAATTATGCAATAAACATTTCAGAACACATTGTAGTATACAGAGGTCAATAGATAGTTCATACGGGCTAATATTTGACTTATGGGCTAGATCTTTACTGTGCTGGGATATTTCTCAATATACAATTGCCCTTTTATATAAATGTTTCATAGGTGAGGTTGACTAGAAGCTTCTTTAGACAAAAAATTTCTAACTTTTAAGAGTTTCTGTGCACAGGTGGAGAACTGTGCCATCTTATAACAAGACTGGAACATTTTCATTTTAATACAAGAGTTTAAACTCTGATAGATCCATTTTGGGCTTCAGAACATTTGAATGTCTATTTATAGCACCAAGCTCATTCAGTCTCTTATGGCTTGTAGTGACCTCAGAGGACAGAGTGGAACTTGCCCTGTGGGTTTCTCAGTTTGTAAATTGTTTGGGGGCAGAAAGTCCAATCTTTCTCCTTCATAGGAGCTGATGGGCTCAAATAGTTGATCTGATGGTGAGCAGCTGAACACATAACCCACTGCACCATCAGGACTACTGATTTGGGGCCCTTTAAAATACATCAAATTGGAACTGCCTACTATTCGGTTCTTAATAAAGATGAAGTGATGCTTGGGGAAAATTCCAAGTCCATGTCATTTTGCACTGTCCAAATATGTCTTTGGATCAAAGGAAACCATGTGAAGTGTGAATTGACGTAAATCTGTAATACAATACAAACTACGTTCAGTAATGCCAGCACATATAGCTTCTGTCTCAGGCTGGCTAACTAACACGACATCAAAATACCCTGATTTTTTTATGGGGGGACAGAATGCAGAATGGTATATGGCACATGTTCTGTATCTCAAAAACTAGAGTTAATAGAGGAAAATGTCATTTTTGGAACCAGAAGATCAAATATACCCAGAAATAAGTCTAACATTTGAGGCACCAAAATGTGTATTGGCTAGTGTACTACCAATATGTTTTTTCGATACACCCTTTCAACAATTTTTACATGTCTGATTTGGTGCCATTGATGACATTCTTTTAAGTTGCTCAACCACATAACTATCTCTTTCCAAATTATTTTACCACCGTTATTTTAAATGTATAGAGTACTCTGTGTTAGTCTGGGTTGATGAGAGAAACAAATTCATGGACACTCATATGTGTATAAGAAATTGCTTTATATAAAAGGGCAATTGTATATTGAGAAATATCCCAGCCCAGTAAAGATCTAGCCCATCAGTCGAATATTAGCCCATATGTCTAATACTAGTTCATACATTCCTCTTTAAACTCATGGAGTCTTGAAATAATACTGAATGTGGGAAGATCGCAGGGCAGTGGGTGGCAAGTCTTGTGGATCTAGTGGTGGCAGAAGCATCTCAGAGCCAGTGTGTGTCTCCATGTGGCTTCTCCAGTTCCAGGGCTCAAGCATAGCTCCATGTGTCTTCTCAGCAGGAACATGAAGCAGAGAATTTGTCTACCCTCCAGAGAGCTATTCATCTCCTTTGTTATCTCCTTCTTGCCTCCAAATGAGGTCCTCAAGCTGCAACCTGATTAACAGGCTAGACTCTAACTCTTTGCAAGTAGACAGGAGGTTATGTAACTACCATATACTCTAAACTTCTCATCCACACTTTTGAGTTGCTATTATCAATTTAATTTAATTAACATTGATGATTCAATTTAATCTCTTTAACAGAACACAATATTTAAAAATGTACTTTACTAACTAGGCTATTTTTGAGTACAAAGAAGACTTCAGAGATTAATTTGTGACCACTCTCTAGTTTTTGAAATCTCAATCACAATATAGTGAACTAGGGGGTAGAAATACTGAGAAACAATATCAATTCAATTAAATGGGTTGTCTCTTGATATCATGAGCCTAAACTTCCCAACCAAAATCATGTCCCATGGTGTATTTGGTTGTACACAGACTGAATATCTGTGTATTGTAATAATAAACAGTTATATAACACTTGCCATTTCAATATTTAGTATATTCTCTCCTTTTAATCTTACTTGCTCAGCTCCAGTCTTACTCCTGGAATTCTCTGGGGGCCATTTTAGCCCATTCGCCTCTCCCCAATACTCACTGCCCTCGAGTTGGTGCGGACTCATCCCGATCCTAGAGGACAGGATAAAACTGCCGCCGTGAATGTCTGAGACTGAGCTTTTTAGAGGAGCAGAAGGCCCCATCTTTCTCCAAAGGAATCACTCACTGGTGGCTTTGAACAGCCAACCTTGCAGTTTGTAGCCCAGTCAGTAGTGGGGTTGTTGTTATCATTGTTAGGTGCTGTTGAGTCTCTTCCAACTAATAGCAGTCCTATTAAGATCATGCAATACTCCCCAGTTCTGTGTCATCCGCACAATCGTAGTTGGTTGTTTGTCTGGATAGTCTTGATTCCGTGGCAGTCATTGTGCCAATAGTCTCATGAACAGTCTCCTTGTCACTGACCAAGCATGATGTCACGCTCCAGAGTTTGGTCCCTCCTGATAAAATGTCCAAGATACGTGACACCAAGTTTTGTCAACCTCATTTCTAAGAATCATTGTAATTTTATTTCTTCTAAGACAGATTATTTTTTTAACCGCTGGCAGCCCATGGCATATTCAATGCTATTCAGTAATTCAAAATCATCAGCTATCCTTATTCAAGGTCGAATTTTCTCATCCATAAAATTCAATTGAAAATACCAGGGTCTGGGCCAGACACACCTTAACTCTCAAAGTAACACATTATCTTTCTTACACTTAAAAGAGGTCTTTTTGCAGCAGACCTAACCAATTAAATAATTATTTGAATTCTTCACTACTTCTTCCATGGACATTCATTGTGGATCCCAGTAAAATGAAATCCCTGACAATTTTAATTTTTTTGTTATGAGGCTATTTATTGGTTCAGTTGTGAGGGTTTATTTTTCTTTATGTTGAGATGTAATCCAGGCTGAAAACTGTAGTCTCTGATCTTCATAAGTGACTGTTTCAAGTCCTCTTCCTTTTCAGAAAGGATGGTTGTAGCATTTTCACATCACAATATGTTAATGTGCCTTCTTCCAAACCTGGTGCCAATTTATTTATATAGTCAAATTTCTTGGATTAGTTGCTCGACATACAGAGTGAATAAGTATGGTGGCGTTGTACCACCTTGACACACATCTTTTCTGATTTTATCCCTTTGTTCTGTTCTAATGACTGCCTCATGGTTTATATACTGGTTCTTCCTGATTATAGCTAAGTAGTGACACAACTTCTCTTTGCAAAAGTTTAGTTTGGGAGGATGTCCAGTAAGATAAAGGTATCTTTAAGGACTCATAATAAATGCTCACCAAATATGTGGGGACTTCAAAAAGTTCATGGAAATGGCGAATTAAAAGATGATCATTTTCTGGGACAAAATTAATGTTCTCTGTTATCTAGAAGGCGGTATTTTATAGATTTGTCATGTTTTCTTCTCTAGCATTTATTCACCTCTTCTTTTACCATCATGGCTTTTGTGGCACAAGGGGTTAAGTATCAGGCTGCTACTGAAAAATCAGTGGTCTAAACACATCAGTCACTCCACAGAAGAAAAAAGAAGTTGTTGGCTTCAGGAGCCCTGGAGCTGTAGTGCTTATGCCTTGGGTTGCTAACCAAACTACCAGTCTCTCAAAGGAGAAAGATAGTTTTCTATTCCCATAAAGAGTGACAGTTTCAGAAATCCACTTGAGGAAGTTACACCTTGCCCTATAGGGTCACCA